CAAGAGTAGTGCAGCGAGGCCCAAAGCATAAAAGAGAACGCAAAAACGAAACGAAACCGGACTCGCCCGAGAAAAAAACAAACGCCAAACGCGTCAGACGCGTCAGGCGTGTCAGAATTTTACATCAGACGTCTCACGCTTCGCAATGCAAACGATCGCGCGTCAGAATTATACATCGGACGTCTCACGCTTCACGATGCAGAAACACTAACGTGGACCATTGCAGATGCGAGACTCGGTGCCGCGGCCGATAAGCTTTAGTAGGGTTGTTTGATATGTAGTCAGTTCAGCCAGTACCTTAGTTGTTGCTCAAACCGCATTCAGATTTCCACAAAAGAAAAAAGAATGGATGTACTCCAGTTCATCCAATACCTTACTCATTCAGATTTTTCCACAAAAGAAAAAGAAGGGTGCATAACACTGCATACCTTCCTTCGAGGGAAGATGCCAAATGATAGCAATCAGAACTGCGAGACCCATTGCAGTTCCTCTTGCTGCATTCAGCAGAGTTGAATCGACGATTTCCAGTTGTCTTTCCTGACTACACAAGTACACTCGCTCTCGCTCAAATGGATGGACAACAGCATAGTCAAATCTGCCATCAAAATAATGCATGGGTGTTCCAGACTCTCGCAACTGTCAAAGTCATCAAGAGAAAAACAAAAAAAAGGCACAGCCAAGTTCAAGTCAACAGAGTCATTACAATGAAGGGCAATCACAATGACATTGGAAAATCCCTCGCTGCCATTCTTGCACAGAAGCACAACCACAGTATCCCCTGTAATACAGTACCCTAGATAAATCAGCCAGTCCTTTGGGACATCCCTTAAAATTGGAAGTGGAAGCTCCGGCTAGAGCCAACCCTGCGCAAGGCAATGGTCCAAATTAAAAAATAAAAAAAATAAAAATCAGCCTGAAATTTTATGACAAGGTCACAAGGTGTGGATTTTCATAAATATTCCTAAAAGGAAACTTCAAACTTGGCCTTTTGGCGATTAAAAATAATAATAATAATAATAATAATAATAATAATAATAATAATAATAATAAATCAGCCTGAAATTTTACGACAAGGTGTGGATCTCCCCAAATTTCCCTGAAAAGGAAACTTGGCCTCTTGGCGTTCAAGTTGATGAAGAAGGCAGATCACAAAAAAGCAGGGGCTGTCCGTAGCGAAGTGATTCTTAAATAGGTTAGTTAACAACTTAAGAGCAACTCACATTAATTGGTTAATCAGTCATAACTCAACAGTCAATCAGTCTCACTGAGCCCTCAGTACCCATAAGAGGAAGGGAAATGGGGCAGTCTCATTGGGCTCAGAAGCCTCTTCACAAAAGGTAGGAACTGTTGCAAAGTATTCTCTAAATAGGTTAGTTAAGAAGAAGCTATAGTGTTACTGCTGATTAACTCAGTGGGTAGAGCACCCATTGGAAATGCGCATTGTGGCTTGAGGTTGCAAATTCAAAACCCTGCAGCCTCACACATGGACACCAGCGAGCCTTGACCAATGCACGGCTGTACACACACGCACTTCCCTTGGTCGTGGCACGATAAGGACTACAGACACTGCCTGCACCGCCCAAGGGATTTTGGTATTGAGCCTTGACTATGGTTGCCTGAGGACGTTGGCCATAGGTTGTTCTGACAATCTCCCCACTCTGGCATATCGCACATTGGTACCATTTGAGATTGTAGTACACTTGGTTGAGCACAACTGTTACATGATGATAAGCATGGGTTTGAATCCGTCTTGGGACTTCGTTGCTGGGTTTCTAGCACAAATAGGCCTATCATAGAAAGAACTGCACAACTCTTACACATACACAGCCTACGGGCACACAAGCAGTTAACGGGGATCCCCACTTTTCGGCCCTAGGTAACGATGAATGATCCTGAATGATCCTGAATTCAGGGTTTTTTTGTGTTTTTTTGGAATTTTTTTTTTTGCCTGTTTTTTTATTTGGACAAGCTTTCTGTGTGTCAAATTTGGCGTCATTTGGAGTATTAGAATTTGTGTTGTGAAGAGTGGTGAAAATTGTGAAAATTTGATGACGATTTTTTTGCCAAAATGTCATGAAAATGCACTTTTGGCTTGCTGTTTCATATGTTTTTAATTTTGGTTTTTTTGTTTTGTTTTTATAATATGTTAGTAAGAAGTGCACTCTATACATCGGTATGAAGTTTGTTTAAAATGGCCTTATGGTTTTCTTACAAATTGAGGCGAAAAATGGGGGGTCAGTTAACCTTTTCTCACGGGCAGACATACATAGCGAATGGGCATACACACAGCCCCTGGGCACACAAATAGCCTACGGGCA